TGGAGCAGCGAGAGATCGAACCACCAAGTTCCTGAGTAGTAGATGAGCTACTCTAACTCCTGAGGTAGCACCCCCACCTCACCCAGCCACACATATCTGTGGCAAGTATAGTTTTGATTTTGAACTGGAACAGTGGACATGAGTTGGACAAAACTAAAAGATAAGTCAAGAATCTTTCTTTATTTTTCATAAGCCAAACATCACGTGGTACAGCCTATTATAGAAAACCCACAATTTGCAGCATTCTGTGGCCAGATCAGCATGGATTCCTCAGGCATGTTGATAATAGAATTTTCTGCTCATGTAAACTGGTTTAGTAATAGTATGTCAAAAAATAAGCCCTTGCCACTGAGCTCCATTTTGCGAGAAGCTCTAAGGAGGCTTATTGCCTAGTTATTCGGGAGCAGTCTGGTGCCCCCGTATCACTGTACCATTATAGCTGCTGCTGCTCATAACACTCCCCCACCAAGACTTCACAGCTCTCCCTTCTGTCAGCTGTGACGGAGCAGGTCATTTGCTGACTGGTTGGGATCCTTGTGGAGTTGACTTTATTAGTTACAGCAATGAGAGTTTTGGACTAGGATGTGTCTCGAATAGATGCGGCGGTTGATGAACGTTTATGTTGGATCTCGGTGAGGCATCTTGACTAGCTGAGAACACCGTGGCATGTGTTCAACAATCCCTGCGGTGTTAGCCACTCAACTGTAAAACGCTGTGCTTAACAGCTGACACTTCTGATGCCACGATATACCACATTATCAAGCTTCGAAGAGTTTTGCATTAGAGCACCTTATAAATCACAGGAAACATTTTAATGAGAGTATTTGACATTGAATCCCTTGTGAGATGAAAATGAGAGTATGACACTTAGCACACCAAGTGCTGCATACCACTGGGATTTACAAGTCCCAATGCTTGCTTGCTAGAAATCTCTAATGCTTTGAATACAGCATTAGAGGAGTGTGTATGCATCCCCGTCCACACAATATAAAAAAACATAATTTCTCCTTGCAGTTAATGCATAAAACAGTGCTAGATAACGGTCCCAGCAAAAACATAAGTATAAAATGTTGAACCTTACACTGTGTTGCATCGCATTCCAAACATTCCTCTGGTTTGCAGCATAAAGGCAGGGAAACAGAAAGTCTTAATTAATTCAGCGTAGGTGGGAGAAATCACTGACGGACATATAACGCTTAAAAGCCAACTGCTGCATATAAGACATCAAAAATGCATCGAGAATGAATTAGATAAAGTGCAAAAAAACATAATTAGGACTGAATAAAACAAATAGCTCATTTGTTGTTGTGGGATTTCAAGAGCCAGATGGCAAAAAAAGGCTGCTTTTCAAATTATGTACCCATTAACTAAATAACCTATTATTAACCTCACACAGAGAACTAAGACATTCGATTTGGCAGGTTTTAAAAACTATGAGAAATAAGGCTGCCATTCACCAAAACAGCTTGAATAATTTTCTCCTTTTCAAGGTTAAATATTACAAGCATAGCAGGTACATTTTTGAAAAGATTCAATGCGAAAGGCCAGGTATAAGAGAGGAAGGGTAAAAGGAAGTGATGCTGCAGGAGTAATACACAAGCAGAGCTGTCTCTCAGCCAAATTGGACTGCCACCCCCATGTTAACCTTTACCCCGATGCAGCATTTTAGGTCTCAAGGTTCTTTGAGATGGAAATTCATGTATCAAGATCCTATTGAACAAACATACAGATTATCTGACAGAAAATAAAGGTTCGCCTTCAAGAAGGAATTGATATGGTCAGCCTCACAAAAATCTATCCATCTCCCTTCTTCACCTTCTCTGTTTGCCAAGTGCACGGGGATGAGAAGGGCAGTGAATGCAGTACATCACACCTTCCCATGCCGTCTTTGGGTAAAGCTGTTGATTCGTTAACAAACACAAATCGATAGAAAGGTCTGAATGGAGGACAAGTACAAAGAATTAATTTCCGGCTCCGGGGGCTTACCATGGCAAATCACCAGCTTTAATCAACAGTGTCAAGTCAAAAAGATAAATGATGTTTACACTGAAGCAGTGTCTTGTCTGAAAACAGAAAGCATTGGCTTTTGTCTTCTTACCAGTCTGTCTAGGCTTGTGCCAGTTGCAGTGGTAGGCCTCTCCTCTGGGCTGTAGGGCCTGAAGCGGGCGTTGAACACATCCGAAACACCACGAGCAGATCTAGTGATTCCTGCGGGTTTTGGCTGACCACAGCCTTGAAAAACCTACAATTACAAGAACATGGGTACCCAACTGTCAACAGTTTAAATTACTTGGGATGCAGAAAATAGGTAAAATACACTGTTTGGATAAGGTCTTGTGAATGATTCACCCCTGACTACCGGTGTGATAGTGCTTTACGTCAAGTTGAGGCAACCATGTTGATAGGTGATCCGACTAGGAGATGTGACCAGTGCTATTTAAGTTTGCTGAGTTAAATTTTTACGGGCTTCTGGTAAAACACCACATATACTTAAGCCATAAACAAGATGGCATCTGGTGCATGGGAAAGGCAACTGAGCATTTAGTTTTGAATGGGAACTGGCATCTAATTCAGTGTAGGCAGAAAAATATTCTTCCCCTTTCTGTCTACAATTTTGTGGGCAAAGAAAAATGCAGTAAAACACAGGAAACACATTAACTACTGTTAGTTGAACTAAGATTATCTGACCAACTTGAAACATGTAATTCAAATACAAGACCTAAATTTGGACATAATTAGAACGTGTTGTAATCCACACCTTAGTCACAGCCCAGTATGACTTCCAGCAAAGCTTATTCCTCATTTTGTGACGAAGTTGGACTTTGTCAGCCTGTCTGAAGTGTTACTTTGGTTCTCAGAGAAATGTACCTAATTGACATACCCTGTAGGAGACCTGGGCACTGTTATCTTGCATATTCATGATGGCCTCTGAAATCTTGACATCAATAGGCCCCATGACAGATTCAATGTTGAAAGGTCCCTCTAGCCTCTGCGCCACCAGCAGCATGGCATCTGTTATATAAAAAAAAAAAGGTGTGGTGTTGGAGGAAGAAGAGCAAAGGTGCAAACACACAGTTGGTAAAGTGCTCACAGACAAAAATAACTGTCAGTACAGCAACTATTAAAAAAAAATGACTGCACTGCAAGGTCCATCTCAAATTACAAAGGCCTGTTTACATGCTTGGTGAAAGTAGCAGTCCAATAATAGTAAAGAACACACTGCAAGAAAAATACTGTATGATTGACACAATGCCAGAAATTCACTGTGAAAACAGAAACCACAATCTTCAAGTATAAAGAAAAGTCTCCACTCATGTCCCTGAATTCATTTACATAGCGGTGCTGCTCAATTCAGTGGTGTGCAATTGCAACGGGTCTTTATTTAGGTGCCAGCTATAACTGCTCGCATTTTGTTTATGTGGGTTTGTGTTTCCAAACGCAGTGCATAGTTTTATCTAACTGGTAAATTAAAAAACGTTTTTGAATATTTTTCTCAGTTGATTGTGTTTTGGGCTCTTTTGGTTTTCACAGAAGGTGAAAAACAACAGAAAAAGTAATAAAATGGTACTAATTGTACTAATGGTGCAATGCTATGCCTACCTCTGATTAATACTGAAGCAATTAATTGACTGGAAAAAATATGTCAACCTCCTTAGGAATTTTTAATTCATTATTTATGAAAACACACACACACACACGCACGCACGCACGCACGCACACACACACACACACACTTCCATTCAGGTTTAAAAGTGCAGATGTGTTTCCTCTCTTTGGCTTACATCTCTGCAAATGAGCACATAAACAAACATGACAATATTTGCTATATTGTCGTGGAGCTTTTTACAAAAAGGACACAAACGGTTTACAATTTGCAAACTACTACATCTTCTTCTCTGATTGCTGCTCAGTATTGTCATTTCCCACCTTCCCATCTCAGACTGCAAGCACACTTATGGAGCATGAATGCTTCTTGAGGCAAATTCAATTTTTATGTAGATCAACTCAATCAAGTCTACAAAATGCTGTTAGGCTCCATGTAGTGAATAGTGCTGATGAGTAATTGATTTAATAGAACTTTTGAAAGCCAAGCACTTATTTACATACCCTGTGAAAAAGGTCAATGGCTCATTAATATTGTGTGGACACAAGCCAGAGGGCCTTGTTGAACATGATACACTTAACATATCATCTGCACTTGTTTTCATCATTTTTAATGAACATATTTGCAAGCTTTTCAAAAGGATGTTGCATTCACATGATCTAATATGTACAACTCTGTACGGTTCACATTGCACAGTACCTCAGACTAATTAGGCAAACTGCTGTTGCCCTTTAAAGGCTCACTGAGTAAACTGAAACTGCTAATGTTGATTTATATCAATGTGCTAGAGTCTGTACGGTGGCAGCTCTGAGTTTGACTGCCGTGCCACAGGTAACTGGACATCACCAAACCACTCATTCATAGCTAAAGGCCCATTTCTGCAGACAGTACAGAACATGCATCTCCATCCACAAACCAGAAGGCTGGTTTGTGGATAAGTACTCCACAATTACTTTGTACCTAAATATAATAATCCTGTCATTTGGAGACTTCAGAAACAATGATGTCTCACTGTACATGCTCCATGACTCCCTTAACAGTTTATTTTATCTGTATCAAAATTCCAAAAGTAGCTTGTTGGTTTTTGAAGAATAAATTATGTATTTCTTTTGGCTTGCTACTCCAACCGCCCCACCCATCATAGGAAAATAAAATAATGTATTCCCAAACTGTGAAGGAATAGATAACATTCCATGGGGAACAGACCAAAAATGGCGACTGAAAAGAAAACACTGACCTTACACAAAAAGCCAGCTGCAGACATGAGAAAACATACTGTAGTGCAAATATTGTACATACCCCCCCCCCCGACACACACAAAACAAACAAATGAAAAAAAGAATATCTAAATTACACTTTAGTGCTTTGATAGCAGACCTGTCCAGCTTTTCATTCTTCTGGGACCTTAGATCACTAATGGCAGGGGAAAAAAGCTGAGAAACATTAGCTCAGCTCTGCTTCCATTTCCTTTCCAATTATGTCAAAGTCAGAGCCTTTGAAGAGCCCCTCTGTTTGTTTACACTGTGAATTGCAAATGGCCTGTGATTCTTGCTGAGATCTTAATATACAGATTACATCAGTGCCAAATGGTTTTCTACAGCAGCACTTCAAGTGCACAACTGTGTAACCATATGGTCTAAGTGTAAAAAAAAAACACCTGCAATGGCCAAAGAAAAATATTTTTGCTGTTTGTCTATTAGCAGCCATGGCAATCATTTTTAGAAAAGTATTTTTTAACAGCGTACTGCAGTTTAGTTTGACTGCTTTCTTTTTGTGTCCTTATATTCCTTTAAAAAAAAATCTGAACGTAGCATTTCCATATTGTTTGTTATTTAATGTGATTATAATGCAAATTCATTCAACTGCCCCAGGTATGTCTGCTCACAAAAACAAACACAGGTAAAAGTATATCTAAATTCAAGCTTAAAAGCTCTCAGTTGCAAATACTGAAAATTTAGGTCAGCAGCGCCAACTGGGAGCAACTTGTATTTCATCACAGGAGAAAAGAAGAGTGCCTCCAGGATCAAAAACGATGGCAATCTTTCCCAGCAGTGGTGACTTATCTGCAACTTATCAGATGGGCTCAACAAACAGAGAGCTAGCCCGGGAACTTTGTCTTTATACACAGCTGAGGGAAAGCAGAGAGTGTCACGGGGGGAGGCAGCGAAAGAAGAAAGCCGGAGAATAAGATGTGGTCCTGGGTTGAGTGAGGCTAGGGCTATAGCTGTGTCCTATAGAGAGATGGGCTCCTGCGCTACATGTGAAAAACTCTGCCTACATGGAGAATTAATGACTCTCATTTATGAGGAGTGCAGGAAGTCCAGTCCACTGTGGCACAGCTGCCACTCTGAGCCAAATTTTCCCTGCATCACTTTTGCGCCACTGAGATAGGCTACTGGCCAGCCAGAGGAAATCTTGTTATCAACACGACACAGCCATGCAAATAGACATATCTTGTCCTATTCTGAGCAGGGGTTTTTACAGCTGTGACTTACTGGATAGAGACACAGAAATCTAAAAGACACCATGCCTCGAAACCACAGCACGAGCCAATTATTTTTACTTCAAATTGGAGGTTAATATTTCAGTTTGTGATATGAAACATGCTTATTTGCCCCGCCTTACTCTTGCCTCTGCCTCTTTATCGAGATTGATGTCCACTTAAATTCAGGCTATGTCAGCCAGCAGCAACCTCCAGCAGACAAGGACAAATAAGGAAAGTGAACAAGCCCATCTATGGCTCTTTGCCTGTGAAGAGTTCCACAGGATGAAAAATGGCTCTAGTGTGATTTGGATTCTGTAAAGCAGACCTCATCTGTGGCTCAGTCAACCAACTAATAGTGCTATGAAACAGTATAAAAATGGAAAGGAAGAAAAAAAAGGCATATTGTCCCTTGGACACATAATCGTGATCAAGAAAAGGAGTCCTTGAACATAGACATATGTGCACAGCCCATGGTTTAATAGCCATAAAGAAAAAAAAATGTATCAAGTATTATGATTTATTTTATTTGTTTGTTTGTTTTTTACATCAAATGTTAAAAATGCCTTTAACGGGCTACTTAAAAAAAACAAAAACAAAAACTGACCCCTCTTTTCCCAAAAGAGTAGTCTACTTTACCAACTTTTAGATGTTTTGGTTCATTAATCATTTGATAAATGACTATAAAGACACACAAGGCAATATTTAGAAAAGCTGGGGCCTAAATCTTAACCCTAAATAAAAAAAAAAAATCTTTTACTAGAGATTATTTCCTCTGCTGCTAACATGAGGCAAAAAAAACCTCAAAGACAATCTTGTACACAAATCTACATAGACAAATCTATGCACCCAATTTGGAGTAAAATGTAGAGGATGTAAAATTTCGATGCAGGAGGCAGGCAGGATTCACGGAAAGGAAGCCTTTTTATGAGGCTGATTGCAAAAAGTACACACAAAACAAAACAATATCCAAAAAAGGCGACACAAAATTGAAATCACAAGTCACATGATGAAAGAATCCTGCAGGACAGAATTACAGGCACTGAGACAGAGACCAAAGGTAACGCAGTACTTTTTATGCCCAAAAGGGTAATCAAGAATCGGAAGCAGGATGCTAACGAGACACAGCTGAAGACAATCAAGATGATGACACAAGTGGGGAGATGTAAGCGAGAAACAGTAACTAAAGCGGGAAACAGATGCATGCATGAACTTCACATATTGAGATTGATACACGAGGAACAAAAAGCAAATGGTTTTGTACCCTTTTAATTGATTTTGTACAGTTTTTTCACTCCTCTAAGGATTTAGTTTAATGATTTATTGGTGTTTTTTATGCACTATAACTAAAAAAAAGTGAAATTCTTTATCTGAACCTTAACCTTTAGCAGTACTTTGTTTGTTTATTTGGTGATTACAAAAATTTGCCTTTTAAACTGCTACAGAAAAGCAGTTAGCAGGCAACACATAGAACTGCCTCCTAATCCGCAGCATTTTTGCCATGTCATTGTGACATATGTTAGCATTTCAGTGTTAGCCCCAGTTGTGTTTTGATCTAAACGCTAACAGAGAGTCACTCAAATAGCTCAGTCTTGTACAAAAACAAAGCCTGAATCATTTAGCATAATTCATGTTCAGTGATGATGGCAGCAATCTAAAACAGTAGGCAAGACTTAAAATGCAAAACCCAAGAGCAACATTGACAATGTACTGCATGGCTAATCAAACTAAGAGACACAATCCGATAACGAGCTATTCACAATCAGATCGTGTTACTAATGGGGCTGGAGATATCATGAAATTTTGTGTATGGTTTGCTGACTGGACTGTTTCTAGTATTTTGCCCACAATTATGTTGAAGCCAGCCTTTCCTGTTCTCACTTTGTAGCCTCATGTTGCAGGGTGCATCACAATGCTCAGATGTGA